TTTACCTAAGTCTGTGCAGTTAATTCTAGTTTAATAATTGTAACACTTTAACAATTAAATTTCTAATTAATGTGTAAAATAGATTTCTTTCTTTAAATTCTAATACTATATCTAAATTAATTCAAAATTTCTCAAATATGACATCTTTTTTCTATAGAAAAATCTATAGGTGGTTTACCCAAATTTAAAGCAAGATTTAAAATCTCTAGTTCTCGAGAGTTTGTTAGGTGGTGGGTAGCCATAAGTGAATTTTAAAACTACAAAGCAACAAAAAAGACTTTTTCACAAGCAAAAAAATGACAAAACAATCTTTCAGAATCCATCAAGAGATGTTCACAAGAAAGCCAGCCTGTATCATATTCTGGCATAGTGCTGCTGCTGCCACCTACCCGAGATATTAATTCCAGTTCTACATCCCATGCCAATGCAAATCGGAATCTGGCCACTGGTTAAAATGTACCCTTTTGAGAGTATCAAAAAGTTAGTAAGCACAGACTGCAGCTAGTCCTAAATATCTGCCTCTGAATATGGTATTTTCTATACTATGTCATTTTCCTACAACCAAGTACTATCTATATATGGATGTTTCTGTGATGCAACATCTGCTTTTCAAGTGTGATTTACTGGTATCCTGTTATGGTTTATATCTGGATGATCCCCCAAAGCCTCATTTGCTCAGAGGTGGGGCTTTTGGAAGGTGATTGGATTATGGAGGCTTATGGCTGACTTCTTGCTACAAGGTGGGGAACTGGGAACAGTGGCACACACCTGTAATCCCAGCTCTTTGGAGGCTAAGGCAGGAGGATCACTTCAAGTTCAAGGCCAAGCTAGGCTATACAGTTCAAAACCAGTCTGAACCACATAATGATACCCTATCTCAAGGAGTGGGGAGTCAGAAGAGGCAGGTCACTGAGAGCGGTGTCTAGAAGAATTTACCTCCTTACCTGGCTCCTCCCTTCACTCTGCTTTCTATCTACCAAGGCTTTAGCAACTCTCCTCTGCCATGCCACCCTCCCTTGAGCCACCCTGCTATGGACTGAAACCTCTAAAACCTGTGAGCCAAACTAAACTGTCCCTCCTTTAATTTGTTGGGTGCCTATTTTTGTGTCCAGGCAAGAAGTAAAGTGACTAATACATGTCCCTACTTGTCCTCTCTCCCCAAAATAAATTAAATAGAAAAAAAAAAAGAAGTTTGGGGGTTTTCTTGTCTGTTTTTTGTTCTTCAGTGCTGGGGGTTGAACCTAGCCAGGTAGGCAAGCACTCTACCACTGAGTTGCACCTCAACCCAGAAGGGGACTCTTTAAACCTTGCATCTAGTTGACTGCCTGATTATAAGAGAGAACCATTTTGGATACCCTAAATGCTACAGATTACAGTAAGAATCCAAAATGACTTCTTCATTTTTTATTTTAAAAATATATAGCATATTTTTCTAAAATCTACAAATGTGTTATTTTTCTTTGTTAAAAGATGAATACTTTGATCTCTGGTACCAAAAACAACAAAAGATGAATACACACAAATAAAGCCAAAGAGTTATAAACTTAAAAATAAACTTAGCAAAAAATATATAAAACCTATATGACTAAAAATGTATTTTTAAAAAGAATTCTCACTCCCACATTATTCAAAAGTAGCCTTTAAGAAAAAGAAACTTGTTTCTAGTTAGGACTTTTCATCATCAAAATGTCTGTTCTCCCTGGGATAACTTACAAGTTATCTGCAACCACAGCAAGAGTAGGTTCCTGGTGCTAGTCAAACAGATAATAAAGTTCACTGGGAAAATAAGCAAATAGCAATAGGTAAGAGAACGCTGAGAAGTAAGAGCTGTGATGAGCGACTAGTCTTAGGGGGCACCACCGAGTACTACTAATCCTCTGTAATTAAACAGCTAGGTGCAAGTGCAAGAACCCACAGACCAATGGGGACACAGAGAAATCGCTGAACTAGGCTCACATACTGCTCAGTATTTTAATATGATCACAATCTTCCAACCAAATCTGAATTCTAATGAAATTTGAAGGGAAAAAACTGACAAACTGATGATAAACTTCAACATTAAGGAAAAAAATTTTCAGATAAGATTCTTCCCCAGGAATTTTTGAAAAGGAATAATGAGGAAAACTTGCTCTACCATAAAACATGTAAGAGAGAGAAACAGGGATCTATTACACAATGAGTGGAACATTGCATAGACTATAAATTTTATAGCTAACAGTCTAGAAGAACATATTAAATTAATAACACTGGTTAACAGCAGTTAAAGGATAATGTGATGGAGTACTACTTTTTGTTTCCAGTATAACTGCAATTTCTGCCACATTCTGTGTTTTCTGGAGTAAAATTAATTCTATGATTGAAAAATGGGGAAAGGCAAAAGAGTATACTGCAGCCTTTTGTTATGCTAGGTTACAAGGGGACACGAATTCACCAAGCACTAACGTGCAGCTTATCTGGGAAGTTCACAGAGTGTGGAGGTGGGGCACTGGCCAGCAGCCAGCACGCTGTAATCCTCTGAACCAGCAGTCCACCAGGGCACCACAGGAGACTCAATGGGGTCTGCTCCCCCTTGTCCATAACAATATGACTCTTCTTGTTTTACTTACAGTTGTGTTGTACATTATTTCATTTAAAGAAAGCATAATATTGCCTGAATAAACCACTCACACAGAGGGCCTCCAGAGGAAACATTATCTTAAAAGTAAATGTGCACTGGTTAATGAAGACCAAGATCTACTATGTTAAAGAGTATACAGTCACATTTTCTAAATACAAAGGCTGCCTTAGACAGAGAGCTAACATAAGTCACAAGTTGTTAAGAATATTACCCGCAAGATAAACCTCAAACACTATAGGTCCTTTGTGAGGAGTGTAGAACTGTAAGCTTGCTACACTCCTAGCCTATGCTCAGTGCCCTAGAGGAACACAGGATCAATAGCTCAGGGAGTCCACTATTATAAAAGTCAAATGATAAAAACAGTTTAAAAGATTAAGAGAATGACATGGCCTGCAGAGTTGAAAGGAAGAGATTATAATTCAGAGAAAAGTATCCAAAGGCTCCTTGGACATGCATACATGTACAGAGATGGACTTTCTGAATTACCTAGGGTAATGTACGCTTGTCAAATACTCCCAAAACTGTATGTGAAAAAGGGAAGGGTTTATTGGACATAAATTATAAATTAACTAAAATAAGGAAAATATCCATGTACAAATAGAACTTAGAAGACAACTTGGCATTTTCTACAAAGTTAAAACACATGAGCCCTATGACTTAGCTATTTTACATCTAGGAACATATTTTCCAGTTATATCTGCAAGTGTACAATGATTCATTATAGAAAAGGATACTCACTATAGCACTATTTATAAAATTTTAAAACCAAGTGTTTATATGAAATAATGTTCACTGAAAGAAAGAAGGGTGCGTATTAATCAAGAGCCCAGTAACTCTAATAATCACTGTTGCTGAGGGATGTAGCTCAGCAGAAGAACATTGCCTACTGTGCACAAGGCCCTGGGTTCCATCTCCAGTGTCATAGAAAGAAAAGAAAAGAATATGCCATTTCACTTCCAGAGAGTTATACTGAAAATAAATCTCTACCTCCCAAATACATGTATACCTTATCTGCCAGAATCATTTTTAATATCATGAAAAAGCAAACATCTATCATTAGGAGACTAGAAAGAAAACTATGATGCATCCAAGGAAATACAAGAACAATCACTAAACAGTCACTGTGAAGTCTGTCTCAAGGAAAGATGGCAACTGTACACCTAAGAAGACTGAAAGCAGCAGCTGCACAACAAAACATGCACTTCCCCTCTGCACATGGGCTCCCCTGCATGGACTGTAAACCAGAGTGTGAACAAAGAAACATCCTGAACATTAACAGTGATCACTGGTTTAGCATGGTACATAATACACTGCCTTACCCGGGTATTTTGTTTTTTAATGGATATTTTGTTGGGTTTTGCAGGTACCGGGTATTGACTCCAGGGCCTTTGCATTGAGCCACATCCTTTTTACATTTTATTTTTGAAACAAGTTCTCACTAAGTTGCCCAGGCTGGCTTCTATCTTTCACTCCTCCTGCCTCATCCTCCCAAGTAGCTGGGATCATAAGCATGTGCTACTGTGACTGGCAGTGTTAGTATTAAAAAATAAAGATTTTAGTGTATGGTTCTAATTGGAAAAAGAAAACTAGGTCTCCCTAGGAAGATCTGTTTTTAAAATGCAAACCTTTAAATTCATCTGGTATATATACACTATCCAGACCAGGAAAATCCCCACCAAAATGTGAGTGTTCATGAGACTCCACAGCCACCTGGGATACATTACTTCAAGAAAGTCAAGAATCTCAGGGCATGAGCATATCACATTAAAACATAAGTTAACAGGTCAGGGATTTAGCTCAGTGGTTCCACTGCCTGCTCTGCAAGCAGAAGGACCCAAGTTTGATCCCTGGTACCCCCCCCCAAAAAAAAAATAAGTTAATACTAACAATCTTAAAGTTGCACTTTAAAATACAGCCATAAGGTCAGGGATTTAGCTCAGTGGTTCAGGTGCCTGCCTTGCAAGCACAAGGTCCTGAGCTCAATACCAAGTTCAAAAAAAAAAAAAAAAAAAATACAGCCATAAAAATAGGAAGTCATTCGATCCCCGGTACCAAAAAAAGAAAGAAAGAAACAAAGAAACAAAAAAATAGGAAGTCATAAATGTTTTTTGTTTTTTTTTGTACTGGGGATTGAACTCGGATTCTTGCGCTTGTGAGGCAGGCAGCGGAAACCACTGAGCTCAATCCCCAGCAGTAAGTCATAAACGAATAACTGATCAGATAAAATTTTTCCATGGCTATTTATTATGTTGCTAAAATTATGAAGACTCATAACTTTTAAACTACCCTGAAAATTGCTGCTTCTTCCATATGAGAACAAGAATAATTTTTGAATTTCAAAATGAGAGTTTTCACAAGACTTGAAAGCCAAGGGAAAACATACCTTCTAGGAGCATTTCTGGAATGTCTGCTTGGTATCTAGGACCCACTCTAATTTCACCTTTGTCAGCTAATAAGGTCTTCACTGAGGGGTCATAGACCAATGAGTAGAAAAATGTGTCCTGAAAAAGATGACAAAGAATGCCTAGGTAAACAATTTCTTCTATTTTCTATAAAGCAATAATATCAATGTCACAATAATGAAAGCATAAACGAGGGAGTGGTGAAGAAATTCATAAATCTTTAAGGAGAGTATGGTGTTACTATCATGTAAAATAGTGTTAAAGCCAAAAGAAATAGCTTTAAATAAAAGAGACTATAAAGTTTTACTATGTGTTTCAGTTTGAAAGAAAATCATTAACTGCTCTAAAGCAGAGTTTTGAATAGCTAGCAAAGTTAAACCACTCCAATTGAAAACCCCTAAAATCAAGTACTGTATCTCCTAACTAAATAAAATCCCCACCAAACAGCAGGGATGCCTTCATGGATACCAGGCACTTTTACTCTCAAAATGTCCCTCACACATTTTTTGGGGGGGTACTGGGAATCGAACTCAGGACCTTGCGCTTGCAAGGCAGGTGCCGGAACCACTGAGCTAAATCCCCAGCCCCCTCACACATTTTTTTCAAAAATTTTAATGGCACAAAAATCACACACTGACTATGTAAGAGTTGAACTTACAGGCAGCCTATCAATATCATTGTAGAAATTTAATTAAACATTAATTATAACCAGAATCCTTTCCATTTTGAAGCACACATATGTGTATAGATAGGCATTAAAAATAAACAAGCACACATCTCATATACTCCATGATCCCTTAAAAACCTCAAATGCCCTAGAAGTACTGAGCCTAGTAGATAAAAATGACTGGGCCACCAGACTTTTGATGAATTCTGCAGAGCAACTGGCATATGAACCAACAAAGTCCTATCTTCTGTTTCCTGTTAGGATCCAGAAATCATCTATCAAAACTCCGCATTCTACCCCAGAAGGGCCTATCCCTACCACCATCAGCATGTCACCAAGACCAGCCGTGGAAGCCATCAAACTATAAGGATCTCTCTCCTTTTAGGATTTTTAATAGGGAGAAAGGAATAAAAAGTTATTCCATCCAATGAGAAACTCTGTACAGTATTTTAACAATGGGTCACTGTCAGGAGAAAAGATTAAACTACTGTTAAAAAGGAAACAAAAATGTGGCATTTATGCCTATCTTAAAATAGTGAGGAAAAAAAAATCCATAAATATACAGACCATCCTCCTTAACAGAGAGGATGATCATTATGTAGTCAGGTTTTGTTGGCTGTTTTGTTTTATAGACATCAGCAAATATTACTCAGGAACTGACAATATTGTTACTGGCTCACCATCAGATTTAAAAGCAGAGTTATTTCAGGTCACTTTTAATTGCAAAGTTTATGAACATGATACAACAATTTAAAAAGAGACCTTGCCATAATCCATACAAAAATGAAATAAAACCATTATTTAGGGTCAAATATATGCTTACAATTCTTAGCTATGTTTAATTTACCATAGAAGTTACAAAAAGCAAAAAAGAGTGGGTCTTGCGGGGGGCAGTGCCAAGAGCCTTCATACTGACCTACAACAACAACCCCCCTTTTTTGGTGTCAGTCTACCTAAGCCCCTAAGGTGCCCAGGCAAGGCTCAAAATTGTGATCCTGCTGCCCCAGCCTTCTAGAGTGCTGAGATTACAGGTGATGTGTGAATTTCAAGAACACAGAGTTACAAGCAAATTTGTTCTTTGGGTTACCAACTTCAAATATACCAATCTCAATAATATGAGGGCCATGTAATAAACAGTGTAGCAAAACTAAATCACACAAAGTGTTTTTCAACTTGAATAAAGTATATTATTGAAGACATTTCCTTTTCCTAATCTTCCTCTCCTGCAAAGACAATGACCCTGGGCCAAAGATGTAGCTCATTGGCACCGCGCCTGCCTGGCAAATACAAAGTCCTGAGTTCGATATCCCCACAACCCTGGCGGGGGAGGGGGGGAGACGCACACCCCCCCACACACACACAGATTAGTTTCTAAAACACACTGAAGTCAGTTCCTACCCCCAAACCCTGATAAAGAACTAAACAGTTAAAAATCAAGTGGACAGGGGTGAAATTCTAAAGATTACTAATTTCCATCAACTAAAATCCTTAGCATATAGAACAAATTAGAAAAGAAAAGGCTTTTTTTCCCCAGTACTGGGGCCTGAACCCAGGGTCTTCTGCATGGTACACAAGTGCTCCACCACTGAGCTACATCCTCAGCCCTCAATCTTCTTTTTATACATTCGTCTCTCTTAGGCAGATACACCAATAAAATTCACAAAACACACTATTTTGCCATTTTAATTTCTGCTTCTGTGAACCAACATCAATTTCTAAATATTATCACTATCAATCATTCTTATACATACTGATGATAAAAACCTACCTTTCTAAATTTCAAAACCTAAGTTATAAAGACTACTGTTTATGTGCCTTGTATTTTTTTAAAATTTTATATTAGGTATTCTAACAAACAGTAACTCTCCAGCATGTGCATCAAAGCTTGTCTGCCGTTTTCATTTGTGATAGTAATAAAGAATTTTTAGAAGTAAATATTCATACCTAATAGTTTAAAAAGGAAAGATACAGTAAAGTAACAGAGAATCTGGGGAGCAGCTCAGCGGTAGAGCACCTGCCTGGTTCTTACCTCAGTACTGTCCCCCAAAAGGGGGGAAGGACGTAAAACAATAAATTAAATACTAAAACACTATTCTCATAATACAAATGATACTGTTTTAAAGATTGTCTAAAAATACACATAAGGTAGAATGTCCTGTTTATAAAGAATGTCTTCCCTCCAATGAAGTCTATACAACTTGTTAAATACATTTCTTGTCGAAATTTGGTGAAAGAAGTATTTTTAACTGAGAAACTTCACTAGGATTCCAGAAAGAAAAGAGATCATCAATGGCAAACTCTCTTCTGGAAAAAGTGTAAAAGAAAAGCCTCCAACCCCTTTTTTGGAGTCAAGGTCTTCCAATGTAGTCCAGGATGGCCTTCAACACACTAGGAAGTCCAATCCGGCCTGGAACTCACAGTGATCCTCCTGCCTCAGCCTCCCTAGTGCTAGGATTACAGGCATGTGCCACCATGCCTGGCAAATGCCATTTATTTTTTTAAATGAAAATAAAACTGGGTGCAGTGACCCACACCTATATCCTGGCCACTTGTGAGGCTGAGGCAAGAGGATCACTAGTCATTTGAGACCACAGTGGGCAACTTAAGACTGTCTCAAAATAAAAAAAAGTCTGCAGATATAGCTCAATGATAGAGTCCAATCCATAGTACCATACTAAGAGGGGGAGGAGAGAGAACAAGCATAATGATAAAGCACTTATTTCATGAAGCTGAAAGTACTTATCTAAGCCATGTGCTATAGTTTATAAACTTGAATTGTCAATTAAACTTTAATTGGTGACTGAAAAACAGTTTTGTTCTTATCTCACTTAACCAGGAAAACAAAATTACCAAAACTCCTTCTAGTCATTACACCTTTATTGCAACACTTCTATAACAGTGCAATAATACCTTAGTACAAAAGGCAACACATTCAGAGATAGGGCCAGGGATTTAGCTCAGTGGTTCTGGCGCCTGCCTCGCAAGCACAAGGTCCCGAGTTTGATCCCCAGTACCAAAAAACAAAACAAAATAAAAATTCAGAGGTATCTGCTTCAATAACAGAAAACAAAATAAGAATGGCTGTGAATTACCTCTTTATCAAGATATGACAACACGGATTCTGTCTCATTCAAAAGGGCAACACTGCATTTTCCCCTGTTGAAAGAGAAAAATATGAACAACGTGATCGCTTACCTTCACAAGAAGTATATAAAAAGTTAATATTCAAATCATAGGGTTAAAAACGTAGGTGACAGGAACATACTTACATGTACATATTTCAACTACTTAAACCTGCTTTATAACCCTGGTGTTAGATTACCTGTGAAACAAAGCCAACTTGGAAGGCAATTACGGAAAGCCCAACCTGGAGAAGGAATGGAGACGAGTAGTAAACCCGTACAACATACATTTGAATAGGTAATTTCTAATCAAGGGGGGGAAAAGGAGGACAGTGAGACCTTCAGACTGTTTCTGAATCCATAAACAGGTATCATGAAAGCCATGTAAGAGGTTGGATGCCTGTAATCCCTGTTACTTGGGAGGCTGAAGCAGGAGGATCTCAACTTGAGCCCAGCCCGGGCAACTTAGCAAGACCCCGTTTCCAAATAATAATAACAGCTAAGGATGTGGCTCAGTGATCCCTGGGCTCAATTTCAAAGTACTACCAGATAATTTTATACAGGGGCTCCTTGGACAAAGACATCACCATACAAACTGGCACCAAAAATAATGTTCAAATTTCAGCCAGGCATGGTGGCACGCACCTGTGATCCCAGCACTGTAGAGGCTGAGGCAGGATCGCTGTGAGTTCTAGGCCAGACTGGGCTACCTAGTGTGTTCAAGGCCGGCCTGAACTACGCAGCGAGACCCTAATTTTTTTATTTCTTAAGCAATCGAAGTATATGAGAACTAAAAAATAATATAAGTGTCATGATGTAAACAACTTACTTTTGCCAAAACCATTCTAAAAACTAGTTAAAATGTAAACACAAGGAACTGCTTTATAACAAGGGGCAAAATAAACGTCCTCAAATTCATGGACCTTGAGGAGCATTTACCTCTGACCACAGCCTTAGGTGCAACTCCACAAATGACAATCTATTTTAAATGGCTTGCCTAGACTTTGAAAAGAAACTATAGTTATACAGGTAAGAGGACTTAATGTAAGTACTTTCAAAATTATTCTCACCAGCTTGAAAATTTCACTGTAACTCCAAATTTAGCAGGGCAATTTTGACAAATTATTCAGCTTTTAGATATTGGTCAGGGCTCACAAAATATCTTTGAAATGTTATAATGCCTGGCTGGAGATATAGCTCAGTAATAGAGCACTTGCCTACCATGAACAAAGGCCTGTTCACCCAGCACCAAAAAACAAAAACACCTAAAATGTCATAGTGTCATTCAATATTTCTACACAAGTCAAAAGAGCCTCACAAATCAACATGGAAAGACAAACACGTCACATAAGAAACAAGAACTTACGCTTGGATTACCACAGCAAAGTACAATTCAAAGAAAAACAATTACTGAAAGCAACATAAAAATTAAAATGCTAATAAATTCATCAAAAAGTTAGTTTTCAAAATGTTTGCAACACTATACTCCTTGAATTTCAATTTTAAAAATTCCTATTAAAAGCTGTTATGGTGATCCCAGCATGAGGGAGGCTGAGGCAGGGGGATCACCAGGAGTTCCAGGCCAGCCTGGGCAACATATTGAGTTTAAGACCAGCCTGAACTACATAGCAAAACCTTGCCTCGAGAAAAAAAAGAAAGAAAAAGAAAATGAAAACAATCCTCTTGAAAATCCTCAAAAAATTTTCAAATTACTTTGGGTTAATATCACTTAGATTTCTCTGAGAGGATATGGTTATTTCCATATCATTCTGACAAATCTCTATTTGGTTAAGAGTAAGAAGAGTTTGTTTCTCTAACGTCTTATTTATGCATAATAGTGAAGCAGAAAAATTAACATTATTACTTCACCATATATAACAACACTGAAAGTCAAAAAATACCCAATGTGCTCTACAAACCGCAGAATGCCAACCAAGGAGAGGAGCATGGTGCACCGACACACATGGTGCTCACACCCATGGCGCTACAGGGGTGCACCCAACGTCCAGACTCTCTCCCCCAACAGCTAACAAAGCAGTATTTCTCACATTTGATACTGAATCACTTAGATGGAATAAAGCTTTTTGTTTGAAGATCCCTAAAGTTGGGTCTGTTGGGTTTAATCCATGACAGCAGAACCTACTGAAGTTTACTTTAAAGGTTCTACTATCTTCAATAGCCACTTGAATTTGAAGGGCAAACAGACACTGAAAATTCATACAGGGCCTGGGATTTAGCTCAGTGGTTTCGCCACCTGCTGCGCAAGCACAAGGACCCAAGTTCGATCCCCAGTACCAAAAAAAAAGAAAATTCACACAAACAATATACTACTTAGAAGTCTCCTCTAGGGGCCAGGGACTTAGCTCAGTGGTTCCAGCGACTGCCTCGAAAGTGCAAGGTCCTGAGTTCAATCCCCGGTACCAAAAAAGATTAATAAAAAAATAGAAGTTTTTTCTATACTGTCTGAAATGGCAAAAGAATTTAAATTATCAAATATATATATGCACTGATTCATTCATTCATTATAAACCAGGCATGGTAGCACATATCTATAATCCCAGCACTTTGGGCAGCTGAAGCAGGAAGACTGTCAAGTTCCAACGCTGCCTGGGCAACTTAGTGAGATTGTGTCTCAAAATGAAAAAAAAAAAAAAGAGCTAGGGGTGGAGCTGGGTGTGGTGGTGCACAGCTGTAATCTCAGCACTTCCAAGGGTAAGGCAGAAGAATCACTCACTACTAGTTCAGGCCAGCCTAAACCTAGCAAAACTGTCTCAAAACAAACAAAAAAACAGATGGATGCCAGTTCTTGGCTAGACTGGGCTATCTAGTGAGTTCAAGAATAGACTGAACTACAGTGAGACCCTGTTTCAAGCAAAACAAGAAAACAAACAGATGTGGTGGGGCATGCCTGTAATCCCAGCACGTGGGAGGCTAAAACAGAACGATCACTAGGAGTTTGAGGTCAGCCTGGGGTACACAGTGAGTTCAAGGCCAGCCTGAGCTACATAGCAAGATCCTGTCTCAAAAAAACAAACAAAAAAATTGTTTTTCCTTTATTTTTTCAGTACCGGGAATCAAACTCCAGACCTTATGCTTGGAGACAGGCGCAGTACCACTGAGCTACATGAACCCCCCTCAAAGATCTTTTTAAAAAGGAGTTGGAGATATAGCTCAGGGTGCAGGCCCCATGTTCAACCCTGAGTACCCAAAACAAAAAAATAAAAACCACAAAAGCTAGTTTCAGGGGGGTGGGGTGGAGGGATTTAGCTCAGTGGTTCTACCACCTGCTCCTCAAGCGCAACGTCCCAAGTTTGAACCCCAGTACCAAAAAAACCAAAAAACAAAAGCTGGTTTCACTGTTTCATTCACGGCCCAAGGTTTCAAAACCTGCAGAAGGATACCTAGCCAATCTAAAACACAAGTTGATTTGGGGGCTGCAGCTATTAAGCAAAGATGAAAGGATAATAAGTGATTTGAGTTTTTAAATCTCTTTAATTTAGCTATATTATATTTTTCCCAAATTAAAATAAAAATCTAACACTTAAGTTTTTCAAGTACATATATTAACTGCTAACAAAGTAAGAGATTTGAGTCAGAATTATCTTACGAAGTAAATATGAATATGTAATGAACACATGTGATACCATGCCAAAAGTTGTTGATAAAAATGGTTTAAAAAGATTTAAAGCACTGGCTTCTGTTATGCCTAACAAATCTTGGCTCACAGATTTAAAAAAAAAATTCAATCTAACCCAACCTATGGAACTATTATCAAATTCTGATGCAAGGGGCTGGGGATTTAGCTCAGTAGTTCCAGGGCCGGCTCAAGGTCCCAAGTTCCATCCACCATACCAAAACAAAACAAAAAAAAAGATCCAAGAACTTCTGATACTATAACCTAAATGATTTATGCTGAGTCTGAAGCAATGAACCTGTCTCTTTCACAATATTTAATTCTTAAGAAATAAGGATACCCAAACACAATGTAAACTACATCAAAGGCTTTAATGCAAAGCAAGATCACCCCAGGACCATATAATCATTCACACTGTTTTCTACACGGAAGCACAAAATATGCAATTTCCACCAAAAAATCACACATTCCCCTTATACCATGCAAGTTTTTAGAAGTGTGCTGTTTCAAAGACTATGTAGAGACTTTGTATACATAATTTTGACAAACACGGCCCCATGTTGAACAAAAGGGGCTATTAAGCATAGAATCTGCTACTTGTTTGACACTACTTTCAAAATAATCCTAGCCTCAAAAAACATACTTTTTTTTTTCTTTTCAAAAAACATACTTTAATACTGTGTTTACAGGGCTGTAGCTGTAGCTTGGTGGTACAGTACATGCTTAGCACACTTGAGGTCTTGGGTTTAATCCTTAGCACTCAAAAAACAAACAAAAAAAGTTAACAAGTAAGTGGGAGCCAGGTATGGTGGCAACCACCAGTAATCCTGTCTTCCTGAAAATAAGACCTAGCCAAAAAGAAATAATCAGCCTTGAAAACTAGAGATCAAAAATGTCAGCCCCCATGGCCAGGCACGGTGGTGCATGTCTGTAATCCTAGCACTCGGGAGGCTGAGACAGGAGGATCACCATGAGTTTGAGGCCAGCCTGGGCACACAGTTCAAGACCAGCCTGAAATACAGAGTGAGACCCTGTCTCCAAAAAAAAAAAAAACAACAAAAAACTGCCAGCCCCACGCAGCCTATCCTTTCATCCTTACAGAGTAGCCACCGAGCAAGAAAATAGTGATGGCAACTAAGGAAAGGATAGGTTGGCTGGGGCTGGCATTTTTGATCTCTAGTTTTCAAAGCTGATTAATTATGCTGATTATTTTCCAGCTAGGCCTTACTTTTGGGGAAAGGAGGCCCCCACACTCTGGAAGCCTGAAACAAGAGGATCAAATTTCAAGCCCAGTTAAAGCCTGGTCAAATTAGTGATTTAAAAACCCTGTCACAAAATAAAGACGAGAGCCGGGTGTGGTGGTGCATGTCTGTAATCCCAGCACTCAGTAGGATGAGACA